GGTATTTATAAGCCAAACTCACAATAATGACGGTGGTCTTAAGACCCTCCTCTCTTCCAACCAAACCAAAAATTAACCAGGGAAGAAAAGAGGCAGGAGGGCCAATACGGTATATTCTGTAATGTGCTTCTCAGCTTTATCAAGTATTTAATAAACAAGTAAAGGAAAAAAACAACCCATCAACATGTTACCTTTGGTAGAAAAAAAATTAAAACACAAAAGAGCAACACATGCTTCATCAGTCATTGTTCAGTAAAAACAGTGATTGTCCAGTATTATTGTAATTCTCAAATTTTTTTTTTCTTTTTTATACTAGCAGTGGGCAATACTCACTGTATTGCCCAGACTGATCTGGAGTTCCTCAAGCGATTCCCCCACCTCAGCCTCCCAAAGTGCTAGGATTACAGGTGTGAGCCACTGTGCTTGGCTATTGTTATTGAAGTCTTTATTTCCGCCTTCAATTCCGACAGTGTTTGCTGTTTGTATTTTTGGACTTTTTGTTTCATCCAACTTTTATGCTAAAAGTAGAGTTAGGCTAAATCATAATTGATCATTGAAGTCCATTAAAAGTGGGTCAAACTGTATATGTGTTACACTATTTAAAATCTTGTTTATCATTATATATCACTTTTTAAATAGAATGTAATTTATTTTGTGGCTGAGTGCAGTGGCTCATGCCTGTAATCCTAGCACTTTGGGATACTGAGGCGGGCTGATTGCTTAAACTCAGGAGTTCAAGACGACCCTGGGCAACATGGTGAAACCCTGTCTCTACTAAAATAAAAAAGTAGTGTAGTGATGCCAACCTGTATAGTCCCAGCTATTGGGGAGGCTGAAACATGAGAATCACTTGAGCCTGGGGGGCAGAGGTTGCAGTGAGCTGAGATTACGCCACTGTACTCCAGCCTGGGCGACAGAGCAAGAGTCTGTCTCCAAGATTAATAATAATAATAATAATAATAATTTATTTTGTGCTTTGATTTTGATAAGAAATTTACGTATACAAAAAGCACTATTTATTTGTTTTAAAGAGATGGTGTCTTACTGTATTAGCCAGGTTGGTCTCAAATCCCTGGCCTTGTAATCCTCCCTCCTCGGCCCTGCAAAGTGCTGAGCCATTTGTCTCCAGCACCTGAAAAAGCACAATTTGGCAGAATCGTGTTTTAACATAGACTTCCCTGCCCCTGAACAGGGGCCACAGAGCTCTAGTCTGGCTTCTGTGTCATGTTTAGAGGATGTGGTCCAGACAGAATCATCAATGGTCAGAGTTAGGACTCAACCTGGAGCTCAGTGGTATAGCTAGGAGTAGAATTCAAGCATAACACTATTGAGAGGCTAATTGTGGGCACTAGGGATGGGAGAGAAAGCAAGAGTTCTAAGTGCAACGGACTATGTATGTCCCTGTACCTGAAAGAAATGGGCCTAGCCAGGTTCTGGCCCCCAAGGTTTGTAAGGTTTAGAAGGTGGCCAGTATCTCTTGTGATGTCTCAGGCACAGAGATAAATGTGCAAGGAACTATATGCCTCTTCTGGCCCCTGTGGGGTGGACTCTGGCTGGGTGATAGGGAAGGCAGCTAGGTAAATATTGTGGGAGTCAGTGAAGGTGGGTAGTTTACCTCCTTGTATTGGATGTGGTTTCACCCATGATGGGACATGTGGGGCTGAGACCTCAATTTCCCCTTCTATTGGGAGCCCTCCAAGCTCTAGAGCATCTCCTCCTAGAAATTTTTCCTAATAACCACTCATCCTATTTTCCCACTCACATGAAAGAAGCTCTGCCTAGAGCACCACCTGTTTTCCCACTACCCCCTTCACTGCCCAGAGTGAAGCAGCATCAAATGACCCTCTCCCAGCAGGGTGGTCTTAAGCTTTCACTTCTTAGGGGCATTTCATAGAGGTAGCAGAAAACCAAAATACCCTTTTGACCTTAAAAAACAATGCCTTACACCTCTACTGAAAGTGCTTGTTTGCTGAATTGAAGACTTTAAGGAATGAGATTATAATGGCAGAATTTCAACTGAAATTCTGTACAGACATGTGACCGCAGGTGAGGCCACTACGTTTGCAGAATAGAGGCAGACCTCCAGCCATCCAGAGTTTGGCCCAACTCATGCTTTCTTTTCTAGAAGAAGTGCCATCCTCCCATCCCCTTTGCTGCTTGCCTCTTGAAGCTGTGCTACAGACACCCAGTCTCAGTGAGACCAGTTGCCTTTCCCCAATCCCCACCAAATCCGCTTTCCGTCCCCTCCCACCCCTGATCCTGCTCAGGATTATGTAATAGGAAGCTCTCAACTAGACTCCCTGGAGAGGGAAAAGGGACCTGAGAGGGAAAACAGCACAAGAATACAGAGCACAAGAGGCACAACCTCTTCCTGTTCTCTAGACTGAGAGCTACCCAGAATGGGGCCAGCCTCCTCTTCTGTTTTCTCCCATACCTCCCCCCAACCCTGGAACCAGGCAACCCAGGGCTTGTCACATAAGGCCAAGTATTCTATCCTTCCCTCAAGCTGCTAGAAAATTCCTTGGGCAGGACTAGCCTTAAGATAAAAAGCAGGCTGTCTCCCTGGGAGCTGGGGTGTATCTGGAGAGGGTGGGGTGTCAGCAGAAGCCCCACAGAGTCAAACAATGGCAGGAAAGAAAACCACACAGTTGCCACTGCATTTTTCTTCAAGGCTGACTCTGCACAGATTTTTCCTGGAAGGGATGGTTGTATAGCTGTTTCCAGAATAGAAGGTAGTATTTCTTCAAATGCTTTCCAAAATATGATGATGATGTGTGTGTGTTTCCCTCACAGAAGCAGAGACAGAGGAGCAAGAAGGATCCAGATCATAGAGGCATTGAACACCAAAGTTTGATTTTTTTTCTAAATGACATGAATGAATTTTACAAAGATTTCCTTGGCTGCTGTGTGGATTGGATTGTAGGGTCTAAGAGCGGAAAGAGTTAGGAGGCCACTAGAGTGGTTTGGGCTCCAGTAGATTAGATCTGATATGGGATAGTGGCCAGGGGACAAAGAGGTCAACACTGGCCCTTACTCAGAGAGAGGAGAAAGGACCAGGGTACATGTGGGGAATCAGAGAAGAATACTGCTCTGGAGCCAGATCCAGGGTCAGATCTGGGGAAACAACGACGAAAACCCATCGCTTGGGCTCATAGAGCAGGCTTGGATGGCGCTCAACCCATTCATATGGTGTTGGAAGGGAAACACTCTCAGGAATAGAGGGTCTCAGAACAGAGGGTCACAGAATGGGAGCCTAGGCCCCAGTCCCAGGCTTCCTATAATGGCCACTCAGTTTTTCCCTATTACTCCCGAAGAAGGGAGTTCCCCATTTATGCATATCATACCCACCGCCCACCAGCCCAGGGGTAGAATGAAGGCTAATGAGGAATTATGGCTATGACAAAGTTGCTGGAAGCTCCACAGAGGAGGGTCAGCATCCGCCCCACCCTGCCCAGATCCAGATGTGCAGAGAGAGATAAACTTGGAATGTGCAGGGACAGGGGACTGGACAAGGCTGGCAAGAGCCAGAGTTCCTGGCACCCTGGGGAATTAGGAATAGGGGTAGCTGGCAGCCCAGTTCTTTTTTCTTTCCCTAGCTCCAAGAAAGACCCTCGTGAATCCTGACATTTCAGCACACCCTCCCAATTTCTTGAATCCTTTTTGAGAGTCAGTAGGGAAAGGGGAAACACTTCTCGGCATAGAATCAGGCCTACTTGGTGGCACCTTCAGAGATGCACATTTCAGCTAGCTCCCATCCTTGGAGGTATACAGCCTGGCATGGGCCATGCTGTTGAGAGGGGTGAGTTCTGGGTCTGAGATTCTAGATCCCGGGAAATAGGACACCAGGGTTCTAGTGCCACCGTGGTTACTCATTTTCCATGATCTCAGGCCAATATCCTCCTCTCTCAGGGCTTCTGTTTGTTCATTTGTGCTTTTGTGATTAATGGGGTCAATGGCAGAAACCAGACTAGAAACCAGATCCCAAGCTTAGGACCAGTTTGTTGGAATTTGGCTAGACAGGCTGTGCAGTCTGGCTTTTTCCCCCATTCAGGCCGACAGGCACTTCTGCCTGCCTTCAATGCCCTTCTAAAGAGTATTCCTCCTCCAGGGAAGCCTCACAGATTATCTTCTTCCTCCCCATGTCATACACTGCTTGTTCTAGGGCTGTCCAATAATACTTGTTGCAACTATGTAAATGATGTGTAATTTGCACTGTCCATTACATTAGCTACTAGTCACATATGGCTGTTGAACATTTGAAGTGTGGCTAATATGCCTAAAGAACTGAATTTTAATTAACTTTAGAAGTAAATTTAAGAAGCTATATGTGGCTACTGACTACTATATTGGACAACACAGGTTCTAGCCACAGTTTTTCTCTCTTTGTTCCTTGTTTATAATAGTTTATAGGAGTTACCATTTATTGAGCACTTACTCTTTGCCAGTTTTTGCATAAGTGCTTTATACACCTCAGTGAATCCTAGAAATTCCATTTTAAAGATGAAGAAACCAAGGTTGGGTAAAACTTATTTCAGGTTGCATAGAAAGCTGGAGAACCATTCAAATGTGGGTCATGTTCTCCAGCCATTAAAGCAACTTTCCAGGGCCCAACCTGGGGTTCTCTTTCTACACTAACTCTATAGCACATGTTTGGACACCAGGCCTGGGGAGGCTTATCAGTGAGTATCAGTTGGTAGATGGTACATGCTTGATGAAAAGGAGAGAAACTAACTCAACTCCCATGCAAGTCCAAAATCCAGCTTTCACTTTCCATCTCCCAGGGGCCTAGGAATCCTGGCTGCTGACATCCCACATTCAGGTATCTCTCTTTTTGCCTTTCTCCTGGACTACAGTGTCCTTTGGTCACAAACTCAGAGCTCAACTGGGTGCTATGTGCAGAGGGTTGGGGAGGGGGTGTCACAGGCAGGCCCAGAGAAAACCATCCAGGCTGAGAGCTGGGTTCTAGAAGGATCCTTGTTTTTAATCAACAAAACAAGAAATAGTATTATAATAACTACCTTTTATTGAGCACCTACTTTGCGCCAGGCACTTTACATACATTTGTGCTTATAATTCTTACAACAACCTGGGGAGGTAGGCATTATTATCGCCATTGTACATATGAGAAAACAGAGGCTCAGCAAGGTTAAGCAGCTTGTTCAAGTTAACAGAGCTGATAGATGAGTCATAGAATCGGTACTTGAGTTGTGCATCTGTGAGGGGCCCCAAAGCTTTCTTCAGGCATTTTTCACACTGAGAAAATAAAGAAGGTACATGAGTGGCGTATTGGTCCACTTTCACACTGCTGAAAAAGACATACCCGAGACTGGGTAATTTATAAAGAAAAAGAGGTTTAATGAACTCACAGTTCCACGTGGCTAGGGAGGCCTCACAATCATGGTGGAAGGCTAAAGGCACATTTATATGGCAGCAGGCAAGAGAGAATGAGAGCCAAACAAAAGGGGAAACCCCTTATAAAGCCATCGGATCTCATGAGACTTATTCACTACCACCAGGACAGTATGCGGAAAACTGCCCCCATGATTTAATTATCTCCCACAAGGTCCCTCCCACAATTACAGGAGCTACAGTTTAAGGTGAGATATGGGTGGGGATATAGCCAAACCATATCATTCTCTCCTTGTACCCTCCCAAATCTCATGTCCTCTCATTTAAAAATCAATCATGCCTTCCCAACAGTCCCCCAAAGTCTTTTTAAAAAATTTTTTTGTTTAAAAATTTTTAACATTAGCCAGCAGCTTCCAAGGGCAGACCAAAGTCTTAACTCATTTCAGCATTAACTCAAAAGTCCACAGTCCAAAGTCTCATCTGAGACAAGGCAAGTCCCTTCTGTTTGTGAGCCTGTAAAATCAAAGGCAAGTTAGTTCTTCATAGGTACAATGGAGGTACAGGCATTGGATAAATACACCCAATCCAAGGGGAGGAGTTAGCCAAAATGAAGGGGAAATGCCCCGTGAAAGTCTGAAATCCAGGCCGGGTGCGGTGGCTCACGCCTGTAATCCCAGCACTTTGGGAGGCCAAGGCAGGTGGATCATGAGGTCAAGAGAGCAAGACCATCCTGGTCAACATGGTGAAAACCCTGTCTCTACTAAAAATACAAAAAAAATTAGCTGGGCATGGTGGCGCACACCTGTAGTCCCAGCTACTCGGGAGGCTGAGGCAGGAGAATTGCCTGAACCCAGGAGGTGGAGGTTGTGGTGAGCTGAGATCATGCCATTGCACTCCAGCCTGGGTAACAAGAGCGAAACTCCGTCTCAAAAAAAAAAAAAAAAGTCTGTAATCCAGCAGGGCAGTTAAATCTTAAAGCTCCAAAATGATCTCCTTTGACTCCATGTCTTACATCCAGGTCACACTGGATGCAGGAGGTGGGTTCCCATGGTCTTGGACAGATCCACCCCTGTGGTATTACAGGGTATAGCCTACCTCTTGGCTGGTTTCACAGGCTGGTGTTGAGTGTCTGTGGCTTTTCCAGGTGCATGGTGCAAGCTGTCAGTGGATATACCATTCTAGGGTCTGGAGGACAGTGGCCCTTTTCTCACAGCTCCACTAGGCAGTGCCTCAGTGGGGACTCTGTGTGGGGGCTTCAACCCCATATTTCCCTTCCAGATTGCTCTAGGAGAGGTTCTCCATGAGGGCCTCATCCCTGTAACAAACTTCTGCCTGGACATCCATGAATTTTCATATATCCTCTGAAATCTAGGCAGAGGTTCCCAAAACTCAATTCTTAACTCCTGTGCACCTGCAGGCTCAACACCATGTGGAAGCTGCCAAGCGTTGGGGCTTGCACCCTCTGAAGCCATGGCCCAAGCTGTACCTTGGGCCCTTTGATCCATGGCTAGAGTGGCTGGGATGCAGGGTACCAAGTCCAGGACTGCACACAGCATGGAGACCCTTGGCTGCCCACAAAACCATTTTTTTCTCCTAGGCGTCCAGGCCTGTGATGGGAGGTGCTGCTGCAAAGGTCTCTAGTATGCCTTGGAGACATTTTCCCCATGTCTTAGTAATTAACATTTGGCTCCTTGTTACTAATGCAAATTTCTGTAGCAGGCTTGAATTTCTCCTCAGAAAATTGATTTTTCTTTTCTATCTCACTGTCAGGCTGCAGATTTTCTGAACTTTTATGCTCTGTTTCCTTTTGAAAACTGAATGCTTTTAATTGCACCCAAGTCACTTCTTGAATGCTTTGTTGTTTAGAAATTTCTTCTGCCAGATACCCTAAATCATCTCCCTCAAGTTCAAAGTTCCACAAATCTCTAGGGCCAGGGAAAAATGCAGCCAGTCTCTTTGCTAAAATATAGCAAGAGTTCCCTTTGCTCCAGTACTCAACAAGTTCCTCATCTCCATCTGAGACCGCCTCAGCCTGGATTTCATTGTCCATATCATTATCAGCATTTTGGTCAAAGCCATTTAACAAGTCTCTAGGAAATTCCAAACGTTCCCACATTTTCCTGTCTTCCAATCCCTCCAAACTGTTCCAACCTCTGCCTGTTACCCAGTTTCAAAGTTTATTCCACATTTTTGGTTATTTACAGCAGCAACCCACTCTATTGGTACCAAATTTACTGTGTTAGTTCATTTTCACACTGCTGATAAAGACATAACCAAGACTGGGTAACTTATAAGGAAAAAGAGGTTTAATGAACTCACAGTTCCACTTGGCTGGGGAGACCTCATAATCATGGTGGAAAGGCACATCTTACATGGTGGAAGGCAATAGAAAATGATAGCCAAGTGAAAGGGGAAACCCTTTGTAAGATCATCAGATCTCATGAGACCTATTCACTACCACCAGAACAGTATGGTGGAAACTGCCCCCATGATTCAATTATCTCCCACCAGATCCTTCCCATAACATATGGCAATTATGGGAGCTATAATTCAAGATGAGTTTTAGGTGGTGACAAAGCCAAACCATATCAGGTGGCAAAAGGATACATTCTCTAGGGGTTGGGGGATTGGTTCTGCTACCAGAGCTGTTGATGGAAGCTGAAGTCCACCCTGTTTCCCACCTACCTGCTCTGGCATGCCACTTTTCTCCAGACTGAGCTGCAAAGTCAGAAAAAACTCACTCCGCTGAGGTTGCTCTTCTCAGAAAGAGAAAATGGCTGGCACGGTGGCTCATGCCTGTAATCTGAGCACTTTGGGAGGCCGAGGTGGGTGGATCATGAGGTCAAGAGATCGAGACCATCCTGGCCAACATGGTGAAACCCTGTCTCTACTAAAATACAAGAAATTGGCTGGCCATGGTGGCAGATGCCTGTAGCCCCAGCTACTCAGGAGGCTGAGGCAGGAGAATGGCTTGAACCCAGGAGGTGGAGGTTGCAGTGAGCCAAGATTGTGCCACTGCATTCCAGTCTAGTGCTTGGTGCCAGAGCAAGACTCTTGTCTCAAAACAAACAAACAGCCAGGCGTAGTGATATGTGCCTATAATTCCAGCTATTTGGGAAGCTGAGGCTGGAGAATCGCTTGAATCTGGGAGGCAGAGGTTGCAGCAAGCCAAGATTGCACCATTGCACTCCAGCCTGTGTGACAGAGCAAGACTCCATCTCAAAAAAAATAAGAAAGAGAAAATGGCTGACATGAAAGACCGTCCCCTGTCTGTTTATTGGTAGTTATCAGTGTGTGCATGTACCTTGTGTTCAGAAGCAGCACAGATCACCAGAATAAGCACATCACTCCCTTCTAGACCACACCCCAAGCACATGTGCAGGGAGTGAGGCAGCTGAGGAATTCTGAAAAGGCTATTTATTTCCTACCAGAGTCCCAGGGAAACCGCCTGGGAGGAGCCTGACTCAGCAATTGGAACCTCAGATTTGCTCCATGCCTCCTTCCTCCAGATTAAACCAGCCTCAGAGAGGTTGTGTTCATTTCATAGATCAGGGACTCACGATGCTAATTTCTCTCTCTCTCTCTCTCTCTCTCTCTCTCTCTCTCTCTCTCTCTCTCACACACACACACACACACACACACACACGGTTAAGGCACGAAGTCTGGCCTGCATGGATCTGCAAGTCTGTTCCATCAGGCACATCTGGCCCAGGGCTGAGCCTATATTTGTACACAAATGGATTAGTGCAGTATTAGGACTCTCTTCATAAATAGGGAACATGATGATGGCTCTGTGCTAAGCCTAGTCCTCCTGTTCCCTGGGAGGGGACCTCTTGCCTCCTTGTCAGTTAGCCAACACCTTCTCTCCAGCTGGGCTGGGACCAAATCAGCCACAGTTCAGGTGAGTGTTGGGAACTAAGGGCCTGGCTTCCAACACTAAGAAAGCATACTTTCTAAGTGTGGTGAGGGCTATTTGGGGACCTTAAATAAGATCAAGTCCCCACCTCAGATGGACAAAGACGGCCACCAAGGCCAGGATGGAGAGGTTTCTCTTTGTGCTTTTAAATCCCAACCATGTGTAACAGGAAGAGAGCTGACCTTTTTCCTCTAAGCTCTCTGGCTCCCACCCCAGGCAAGAGGCTTCTGCAGACCGGTGTGAGTGTAGTGGTGGTGGGGGCGGGGGGGGGGGCAGGGCACAGTCAGGATTGTGTGTTGCAGCAGGAGATTGCTTCAGTGCCCCCTCCCCAGACCCCACCTTCAGAAGCTGGTTCCATCACATTTAGGTCGGCAGCCACTTAATGGGTGGTATAAAGGTGGAAGTTCCTAGGAGTACACAGTGCGGGTGCGATGGAGGGTTCGAGGTCTGCATGAAGGCTGGGGGATGTGTGGTTCCCGGGCCCTGGGCTGGGTCAGGACGCCCAAGTAAAGTAGGCGACCTCATCCAGGTCGACCGGGTAATCGGTGAGCAGCACCGGCGTCTTGTCGAAAAGCTCGCCCTTGTAGCTGCGCCACTTGCCTGCGGGCAAATAGACATCGCGCTCCTGTTTGCCCGGCTCCAGCACCGGCGCCACAAGCAGGGTGTCCCCAATAAGGAACTGCGAGTCAATGCGGTGAGCTGTCTCGTCGCCGGGCGCTATCCACCAAAGGGGGCGCACGATGGGGTCACCCGTGTCGGTGACCTCGCCCGCCAGCTCAAGCAACAGCGGCGCCACAAGCGAGGCCCGTAGGGCTGCGAACTTCTGCGCGATGGCCACCACTTCCGCGTCGTAGCGCCAGGGCGGGATAGAGAACTGCATCGCGGGCATGAAGGCGGCCACTTCTAGCCAGCGAATGTAGAGCTCGCGCTCGGGCACGTCGCCGCCGGCTGTGCGCTCGGGCACGGCGTTGCCGCCCACCATATCGGGTAGGATGAATGGGTAGCCCAGCATGCTGACAGTGAGCACCGCCGGGATGAGCGAGCGCAGCCCCAGGTCGTAGCCCCATACCGAATCGCGATCTACCAGGCGGAAGAAGCAGGAGATGTTCTGTGACTGGTAGCCCACGCGCACCTCCGCCAGCGAGAAGAAGGGCAGCGCCATCTCAGTGTAGCGCCGGCTCCAGACGCTGGGGTCCGGCAGCGGCCGGTAGGTGCTGAAGTCCCGCGGCAGGTAGCTGACCTCGCCCGCGTCGAACTTGAAGGAAACCACGGAGTAGCGAGACCGCAGCCGCCGCAGGTGTCCCTGGAACCAGTCGCGGGCTTTCGGGTTCGTGAAGTCGAGCACGGCTCCGATGCCATTCCACCAGCGCACCAGCGCGGGCAGCCGGCCCGTGGGTTCGCGCACGAACAGCTCGCGCTCCACGCCCTCGCCAAAGCGCGACGAGTTGTAGTTGACAAACGGGTGCACCCAGAGCGTGACGCGGAAGCCAGAGTCGCGCAGGCGGCGGAACATGTCGCTGGCATTGGGGAATTTGACCTCGTCAAAGTCGAAGTCGCCATAAGCGGGTGTGTACATGTCGTCGATTTCCAGGTGGCTGCTGTTGAAGCGGTGCTGGCGAATCTGTTGTGCAAAATGCAGCACCTTCTCCTGGTCCACGGCGCGCCCGTACAGCGCCCACGTGGACCAAATGGGGTCTCGGAAGGCCTCGGGCGCTGGCACCCTCGAAGGCTTGTTGAAGTAGCGGCGCACCATGTACTTGTGGATGGAGGTGACGTCCGAGCCCACGCACACTCGGTAGCTCAGCTCCGGCGCTGCGGCGCGGCCGGCCGCAGGCTTGTAGGGCGTGTCGTGGTAGCGTGCCTGCAGCCGCAGCGAGCGCTCTGTGCCGTTCCAGCCCAGGTGGAAGGGCACTGAGTCGTTGACTTTGATGGCGGCCGCGCGTGAAGATAGCCAGTAGCGCTCAAGGATGCCCCCAAACGCGGCGTCGGAAGAGTAGACATCGCTGGTGACGAAGGGCTGGGGCTCCTGCTGGCCGTCCAGGCGGATGGGCCAGTGTTGCGTCCTCATCTCAGCGCCACCATACCAGTGGGCCGCCACGTCGCCCAGGAACATGGTGTGCTCGACCGCCCTGCCCTGTACCGCCTCCTCCCAGCGCACGCGGTAACACATGACCGTGTCTTTGGGCCGCACCGTCTGGATGAAGAAGTTCAGAGGCCGCCCGTCGGCCGTGAGCGAGCAGCCCAGCAGAGCGCCGTCGCGGCTGCAGGAATCGAGGTCCAGCGCGCCGGAGCGGAAGGCCAGGCGGAAGACTTGCTCTCCCCTCTGGTTGCGGATGGAGAAGCCGCCAGCGTTGAGGTCCAGCAGCTCTGCGCGAAGTCGCTCCGCCTTGCGTAGGGAGACGCTGTAGTAGCACCAGGCCACCACGGCGGCCAGCACTAGCAGCAGCCCCAGGACCGCGGAGCCCAGCAGTGGCTTCAGCTCTTTGGAAGGCTTGGGTTTGGCAGGCGAGAAGTTGTCGGGCAGAAAGGTGTACATAGCTGCAGCTGCGATGGCCTCCGGATTCTGAGGATCTGCGTAGCGGCCAGGCCGGCGGTGGCGGGGGTAGGCCTGGCTCTTCTCCTGAGGGTTCTGGAGCATTAGTGGCCTGCTAAGAAAGGAGCGGGCTGTGCGGCCATCTGACGGAGCTCATCTCAACCTGCTCTGAAAGGAGGAGAGAGAGATGGAACTGAGCTTTTTCATCCCATGTTATTTCCATTTGCTGCCGCAAGCTAAGAAGAGGTGTATAGTTTGGGAAGATGAATACTGGAACCTGAAGGCTTGACGAGTGGCAAAGGTGAGACTCTTACCAGGACAATCTGTGTCTAAGCCACCCTTTCTCATGGTTCCTAATGCTTGCCCAAATTAGGACTCTGTGACTGGGGAGCGGGGCATGTGCTCGGAGATGGCAGGCATCCTCATTTTTCTAGTGGAGAAACAAACCTTGAGAGGGTCAGGAAGCTTTCCAGGATCACAGGGTAAACGAGGCCTCCCCGTATCACACATGGCGGCGTTTGGGCTGAAGAGACGGGGACGGAACTGGAAAAGTCCTGCTCTCCTAGAGGTGTGGATGGCCAGGGTGAGAGAGAGGAGATGGTTCAGCCAGCCTCTTGAGACTTTCTTTCTTTCTCTCTCTCTCACTTCCTTCCTTTTTATTTCTTTTCTCTCTTTCTCTTTCTTTCTTTTCAGATGGCATCTCCCTCTGTCACCCAGACTGGAGTGCAGTGCTGTGATATCAGCTCACTGCAACCTCTGCCTCCTGGGTTCAAGTGATTCTCCTGCCTCGACCTCCCAAGTAGCTGGATTAAAGGCACACACCACCACACCCAGCTAATTTTTTTTATTTTTGGTAGAGACGGGGTTTCACCGTGTTGGTCAGGCTGGTCTCGAACTCATGACCTCAAGTGATCCACCCACCTTGGCCTCCAGATGTGCTGGGACTACAGGTGTGAGTTACCGTGGCTGACCACCGCCCCCCACCCCAGACTTTTTTTCTTTTTTTCTTGAGTTGGAGTTTTGCTCTTGTTGCCTAGGCTGGAGTGCAGTGGCACGATCTCAGCTCAACGCAACCTCCACCTCCTAGATTCAAGTGATTTTCCTGCCTCAGCCTCCCGAGTAACTAGGATTACAGGCATAAACCTGGCTTTTTTTTTCTTTTTTTTTTTTTGTATTTTTAGTAGAGACAAGGTTCCTTCTTGTTGGTCAGGCTGGTCTCAAACTCCCGACCTCAGGTGATCCGCCCGCCTCAGCCTCCCAAGGGGCTGGGATTATAGGCATGAGCTGCCACACCTGGCCTCCTTGATACTTTTAACAGGGTGGTAGGCTAGCTTCCCTGTCCCCAGAGGGTGAGAGGAGGGAGGAAGGGAGAACAGCTCAGAAATGGGTTTTTATCTTGAGTCAAAAGCCAAATGAAATCTGGAGATTAAAGAAGACACCTAAAGCCAGACTCAGCCCAGGGCCTGTTTGGAGGGAGGTAGGACTGGGACATTAGGGTCTGGGGCAGGAGCCTGGCATGGGAGGCCAGTTGTTTCTCACATCTGCTTCTCTTTGCCCTCAAGCTCACCCGAATCTCAGCCATCCATTAGCAAGTCCATTTCCCTGCTCACCTTCCTGCTGTCCTCCAGGCACCACATCTGTGGGCCAGCTACTTCCTAGCTCTGTTTCTACCATTCACCCACTGTCCTGTTTCTGTCATAGTTTGGGTGCTGTCACTTCTCCCCAGTATTACTGTATTATTATTCCCCCAATAGGACTCTCTGCTTCTAAATTCTTTCTTATCAGTGCCTTCTGATCTCAGCAACCATAGTGATTTTTGTAAAGCACTTATCAAACCATGTCTGTTCCTAGCTTCAAGAGCTGCTCATTACTGCAATGATGATTTTTTTTTTTTTTTTTTTTTTTTTTGAGATGGAGTCTTGCTCTGTAGCCCAGGCTGGAGTGCAGTGATGAGATCTCAGCTCACTGCAACCTCTGCCTCCAGGGTCCCAGTTCAAGCAATTTTCCTACCTCAGCCTCCCAAGTCGCTGGATTACACCATGCCTAGCTAATTTTTATATTTTTTAGTAGAGATGGGGTTTCACCATGTTGGCCAGTCTGGTCTTGAACTTCTGACCTTGTGATCCACTTGCCTCAGCCTCCCAAACTGCTGGGATTACAGGTGTGAGCCACTGTGCCTGGCCCATGATGAAATTTAAAAGTGTTTGCTTTGCATTAGAGGCTCGAGGCATGATGTGTTTTCGGCTACCATTCTGACTCCATTTCCAGCCAGGCCTATCTTGTGACTACCAAGCTCGTTTCTCCCCCAGCCTAAATCCTTTAGGCCACCTGCTCAAGAGATTTCACTCACCTAGCTCAGACCAACACACCTCCTCCACCTACCTGCTCTCCAGGGATCTGACACCCATCACTACCCCTAACACACATAAACTCTGACACGCTATATGCTAAACATCCAGATATGAGGCCATGCATGGTGCTTATGCCTGTAATCCTAGCACTTTGGGAGGCCAAGGAGGGTGGATCGCTTGAGCTCAGAAGTTTGAGACCAGTCTAGGAACATGTCGAAACCCTGTCTCTGCCAAAAATACAAAAAAAAAAAAAGAAAGAAAGAAAAAGAAAAAGAAAAACATTAGCCAGGCGTGGTTGCACGCACCTGTAGTCCCAGTTACTTGGGGTGGGGGGAGCTGAGATGGGAGAGTCACTTGAGCCCAGGAGGTTGAGGTTGCAGTGAGCCGAGATTGTGCCACTTCACTCTAGCCTGGGTGACAAAGTAAGACCTTATCTCAAAAAAATAAAAAAAATTCCAGATACGACTGCAGGGAAACACAGGCTCAGGGGAAGAAGCGTGTCCCAGTCTGTGATTCAAGGCCACCAACTGTACCTGTCCAAGGCTTTAGATCAGAGTCCAACAAAGAAATAGTACCAGCCAGGTGCACACATAGGCATATACACAGCCAGCCAGCAGTTGCCCAACTGCTCCAGCTCGGGGGAAGAACAGAAGACTGGCAAACAGTAATTAACCTCCTCCCAGATGCCAGTGTCTGTCTCTAAGTCCCCAGGGACTTCCAAGGAGATGCCGGAACTACTCAGATTTTTCACCTCCCCTATGCAGAGACTCTGAAGAATGCAAGGTGTGGAGCAGAATTTGATCCTGAATGTCAATACACAGCTCCTCCCAGAGGCACTCCCCACAAGGTGCTAGCTCAGGGCCTCATTCTCAGTCCCTCTGCCCCCAGTTGCTTCAGTTTGTCAGCCCTAGCTGGTCTTTAACAGACTCTTATTCCCTTCCTCTCAGCCTACAATGACTTAGCTTTCATCCCTATTCCTATATAGATACAGTTCTTCAGCCTCCCAAAGTGGAAAACTCCTCCTGGAAAATGCAGCCAGTGGCCTTTAGCTGATGCCCTCAAGCGGAGCAGAACCCAAAGAAGGCCTTAGGTGGCTCAGATCACACTTTTGAATTTATATTCATTCATTCAATACAACCAAAGCCACATTCTGGGCACCAAGGAAATAAGGAGAGAGAGGGTCAGTATCTGAAGAGAGAGACCTCATCCTCAAAACTTTCATATGAAGTCAGCCTATCTCATGAGCCCTGGAGGCATGAAGAGGCCACCAAAGTGGGTTCAAAAGCCCTTTCCAACAGTTAGGTTCTGTGAATCTTAATTTTCCAGGATCTGAGGTTCTTTGATGAAAGACAGAAGCCCATAGGCCTGGGCACCCACCCACCTCAGGCACCATGATAGTCTCCCAAATGCCACCACAGCATCCAATTCTATCAAGTGTGATACAGCAGACATAGCTACAGTGTCCATTTTACAGATGAGGAAATGTGGCCCAAACAGAAAAAGGAACTTGTCTGAAGTCTGCCAGGTAGCAAGGCTGCCTGGATCTAAAATCCCAGCTCAGCTCCCCATAGCACAAGTTTTAGGAGGAGATAGGAGGTAATGGTCTGACCTGGCTGCCTGAATGCAGTAGCAGAAAGGAGCCCTATGGCTGAGCTGGTGGAACTGGCTTCCGTCAGATGGACATAGCATGGTGAGGCCTGTCTTTTCAAGGGCTGGTGCTGCTGCTTGCTCCATGCCGACGAGGGCCTCTTAGGTGCAGCAAAGAGGGCACTTTTAATGGCATCTAGTACCTGGGCTTTGGGGGAGGAACCTTGTGGTTCTGGTGCTAACAGTGGCACCAGAGACCTCTGTAATCTGCCACCTCCGCCATCTAGCCAACCCAAGGCTAGTGCTAGCAGGTGGAGTTTGCAGGGCGGATCTCCCTGGGCTTTTCTCCTGCTGAGCCTCCCCACTGTACACTCAACCTCAGTCTTGGCTACCACAGCTAGTTTGGTCTGAGCGGGAGGGCCCCATCCTGCTCAACTGAGGGGAGGCCATTCCTAGTAGAATCGTTAGCTGGACACAGTTCCCAGTGGGGGATGGAAATGTCAAAGGCAACTCGATCCGGCTCATCTCCCTCTCCTGCTCCGCGATGGGATCCGCGGGATCGAGTGACTGCCTACACAGCCTGGAATACTCTACATCCCCCCTCAGCACCCCGCCCAAAGCCCGTACTGTCCAGAGGGACCAGCCGAGGTCAAGGGACCTGTCGCCCTAAGGGAATCGCGGCCGTGGGATGGGCCCAGGTGTCCAGGCTCGCTCCACCCATTCATCGGTGGGAACGAAAGTTCAGAAATCGTGCTCCCTCAGTAGCTCCCCGTCCCCCACGGCCCTTCCGCTGGGCTCACCCACTGCAGCTACAGCCCGGCAGAAGTAGGGGGTGAAGGAGCTTCCCGCCGATCCCCTCCGCTTGAGCCAGAGTGGAGCTGCCGCCGCGCCGCGCGGGGTGCTGCCTCGCAGGACACAGCTGAGCCCCTCCTCGGGCCCCGCCCTGGGGCTCCTCGGCCACGCCCCTGTCATCCAGTCTCGCCTTGGGCCTCAGAGTCCAGCCCAGCCCCTGGCGTTCGACCTCTCCTCCCAGATTATCCCGCGGACCTGAGGCCCTGCCCCTCAGCCCCACCTTCCTCTCACTGCTCTGTGCTCTGCCCCTGGCGTTACAGGCTTGCTCAGTCCCGCGACCCCCCGGTTCCGCACCCCACCCAGCGGGCCCCCGCCTGCTGGGCTACTGATTACCCGCAAGCGGGCGGGGCTCAGCCCCGGGCCTGCTGGGACATGTAGTTCTGCAGAAAGGATCAGCTGCGGAAGGTTGGGGTTCTTGGGCCCCTAAGCTAGGTTTGGAATGAGGATGAGAGGGAGAGAACCTCAGGGTAAAGGAGCAGAGCTGGCCTTTGGAATTCCTTCCTTCCCAGTTTGGGCAGGGTATACCGATATAACGTTGTACCGTCGTAAGGGTATAACGCTCTCACAAGCCCTCAGTTTTGCTATATGGAAAAGGGGTGGCGGAATTCTGGGAATATCTCAGTGCCCAATGCAGGGTGCTTCCAATCAAGGGCTCCACGAAGGGAGCTGTAGTTCCAGCCAGCCGGAAATCCAAGTTGTCGGTTCCCACCGGACCAAACCAGAGGTGTCCGAGGGCAGAGACTGAGAAGACCGGTTTCTGCTTGGTGTTTTACAACGTAACCCGTCTCCCTGACCGCCACCCCAGACTAGTTATTTATAGGGTCCAGTCCCTCCTCCTAGTTACAGCCTTTAGTTAGAAATGCCCAAGCTGCGAGAAAGTGGGCGTGCCCCGCCATGCTCCCGTCTCCGGGGAGTGCGCAAGACTTTGAGGCTTCATTTCTATTTTCCATTTTATTTTATTTATATATGTATTTATTTTTGAGTTTCCCTCTTGTTGCCTAGGCTGGAGTACAATGGAGCGATGTTGGCTCACTACAACCTCTGCCTCCCGGGTTCAAGCAATTCTCCTGCCTCAACTTTCCAAGTAGCTGGGATTACAGGCATGCGCCAACACACCCAGCTAATTTTGTATTTTTAGTAGAGACGGGGTTTTACCATGTTGGTCAGGCTGATCTCAAACTCCTGACCTCAGGTGATCCACTGCTTCGGTTTCCCAAAGTGCTGGGATTACAAACGTGAGCCACCACACCTGGTCTTACCTTTTTTGAGAGAGGGTCTCTCTGTCGCCCAGGCTGGAGTGCAGTGGCGTGAACATGACTCACTGCAGCCTAGATCTCTATTCAAGCTATCCTCCCACCTCAGCCTCCCGAGAAACTGGGACCACATGCCTGTACCACCATGTCCTGCTAATTTTTAAATTTTTTGTAGAGAAGAGGTCTCCTTATGTTGCCCCAGGCTGGTCTTGAATTCCTGGCTCAAGTGATCCTTCTGCCTTGGCCTCTTGAAGTGCTGGGATTACAGGCGTGAGCCACTGCACCCAGTCGGTTTCGTATCATTGATGCAGAAAGAAAAATACCAAAGATCCCAGAGATTCTAGAATGCCCCCCTTCTCGCTCCCTGAGGAGCAGAGAAACAGGGCTTTGTTTTGCACCTTGAAATTTCTTTGTCATGAGACCCTCCAAAATTATGTTTTGACCAGTTGGATTGCGGGTGGGGGGCACACTCTTGTGCAGCAAGTGTGTCTGAGCACAGAGAAGCTTTTGGAAGGCTATGATGGGGACTCCTGGAAGCAGAGATCAAGAGCTTTGGGTGTAGGGATAGGGCTTTGACTGGAAGGAAGGATTTTGAGTCCTCTGATGTGTGGGAGGGCATCTAAGTTTGGGGGCATACTGAGGAAATGTTAGCTGGAGGGTCTTCATGGGGTGGGAAGTAGATGACTCCTGCCTGCATTGCAACATGGACCCATTTGTTTGGGCTCTGGGATGCAGGGAAGGAGGACAGCAACTGGATATAGGGCTACTGTTCTGTCTCAGGAGGGCACTCAGGGACGTACTGAGATGATGGGGTTGGAAAGGCTCAGGGAAGGGCGACTTTGAGAAAAATTGCATTTCAGTTGAAGGGTTTTGTTAGAGGCCTGAGTGACTGACTGGCCCTTCACTTCCAGATCCTGCCGGGTAAGGACACAGGAGGCAGGCTTTGGGGGTGAAGAATTTATTTATTGCTCTGCCCCCATGGCCCAGCAAGCCCAGGCTCTACCAGCAACTATAGTCAGGATAGGTCTCAGACACAAACTCAGGATGGATGACATAGTTGTTTCTCTGGGGACCACCAGTCTTCTTGAAGTGACTTGTGTCCCACCTGCAGAGAGAGATGAGCCCTTTTGGATCCTCATCACTGTCAAAGTGAATATCTGACTGCAGTTGGTAATGCTAACCTTATTCCTACATTTTGCCTGTAGCACTGACCCTGGGTTTCAATACTGACCTCTTGACCTTAGGTTCTACTGTTAAATGGCTGATACCCAATACTTCCTCCTTAACATTGACTTCTTACTTGTTACTTCAAGCTCTGAGCCCAATAACCTTGACTCAGCCCACTGCCAACCGGTAACCCTTCAATATTGGCCTCCTAGCCTTCTCCTAGGGTCCTTTGGCCTTACCACCTTTGACTGCTCCATGGCACTAGCTCCCCCTGGTGGTATATGCCTGTCAGTGCACCGCAGCGGAGCGTTCTCTTTTCATTTACCCGCCATCCTCCCCCCCCCCGCCGCCCCCCGCCCCGCCGCACTCAGACTCCTGGATCTGTGTGCAAATGAGTGTGTGCGCACTAGACTTACCTAAGGTTCGGATATAGGCAGTATGACGGCAGGGGAGTTGTAACAGCACACTGCATTCCGGGCCGGTGCTCGTAGGGAGGTACACATCTGGAGGAGGAGGAAACCGTGGGCAGGGAGAGGTTGGGCCTTTTGACTCGCATCCCCCGATTTAGACCAAACCCCTGGACGGCGCTTCAGGTGGCCTCCTCTCCTTCTTCCCCACTCTTCAAGACCCCCACTGTAGCACCGGCTCGGGAAGCCCCCCTTGGAAGTCTTCCTCCCGGCAAGGCCTCATTTCTGCCGTTCAGGGAAGAACGCCGGACGCTGGGGAGGGTCGGGCTCTGGTCGTTGAGTGGGGCAGAGGGATGCAAGACAGATGGAGGAAGCTGATGGGAGCAGGGGGGCTGGGAAGATGGGAGGAGATGGTATCAGGAATGCACTTGGAGGGATCTGTTTGTAGGAGGTTAATCATTTCTCCAACTCTCTAAGGATGAGAACCAGGGCCCTTCCCCGCCACTGGGGAAGTTTCTCCAGCAATAGGACGAGGCATCGTTTCTGAGCTTTCTAAAGGCTCAGATACTTTCCCGAACCCCCATGCCCTTGAGGGGGATAAGACTCAGTCTCGCACAATAAATCAGGCTCTATCGGCCTGGAAAGGGGCGGGGGATCACTATGGACGCCCTCTGCACAGTTCTCTGGGCTACCGCTGACGAAGTTCTCCCTGGCTTGGCTGCTGCCGGGTGCAGGGCAAATGCCGCGCTGCAGTGTAGGCTCCAGCTGTGCGCTCGGAGTGTGTGCCTTAGTTTACTTAGCAGTAACACGCGAGGGTGCCTACCTCCGCAGGTGGTGCGGGATCCGAGGAGGTCAGAGCCATTCTGGTAAAGTGGTCACCATTTTTTGGCTCACGTAGCCCCCAGCGATGACCCCCACCCACTACGGACGGTGACGGGGGGGCCAGAAAGAGAGGACATTTTTCTGAGGACGCAGGGATCTCCACAGGCTAGAACCTGTGTCTCTAGGGCCAGGTGTCCAGGGAAGGAGGCAGGGCCAAGGAGACGTGGGAAGAGGATGAGACAGATGTATGGGGTTTCTTCCTCAAAAACCCTCTAGCAGGACCTCCAGAGCATATACAGAGGCTAGGATGACCTTGAGCCCAGTTTGAGAGGGACAGGGGTCGGGGACTTGGAGTAACCTCCGTTCTGGTTCTCCCGCCTCAGTTGTTAGCTCAGGGCTTGGAGCCCGAAGGCGGGACACGGCGGGGCCTCGAGAGCTTGCAGCGCAGGGGTAGA